TTAAATAAGCATTTGAACTCCTGATAATCTTCATCTTCAAGATAGAGAAATTAACAGTTAGAATGCTCTTCTTAGATATCATTACTGCTGGGCAAATATAATAGGCAGCAGCTCTTTAAACCTCAGCATCAATCTGTCTAGGAGCAATAATTTCTTAAGTGACTTGCTAGTACATCCTATACCTTGGAGCCCCTAGCTCTCCATAAAGGCATAGGCATTGGAGTTGATGAAGGAGGGGGCAATCAATGGTATGGACATATTTGATGTAATTGGTTGAGATAATTTGGAAAGATATCAGCATTATCCACAAAACCACAATGAAGCACCTAATCATTGTGTATTCAGATGTCCAAGGATTCAGTGGATGAACAGATGACAATGCATCACTGGTGTCAGAGAGAACAGATGTGGCATGTGAGGAGCTAAAAACCAAAACTTAAGGAGGATTGAAGTTTCATGACCAAATGCTGCAAAGCTCCTTTTAGGTTGGTTGACAGGTCATGAAGGTCATGAAATCCAGGGAAAATTCTGAAGGACTGTCTGACCAAGTGCAAGAAACTTCCAGAGGAGTGCAGGAAAGTTCTGGAGGAACTTCCAGAAATTACTATGAGATTTGTTTACTTGACAAGAATATGTATAGAGGCTACTCAGGACAAATCCTGAGTAGAAGCAAATAGAGGAAAGACTGCAAGGACAAAGTCTGATGCAGAATAGGTCTGGAGAATCATGGTAAAGTTCTGGAGGGGGAATTCCTCTCTAGGCCTAAGATGTATATTGCCTAAGTTGGAGGACTAGAACTAGTATGATGTGAGATCTAGTATACTGGAGACAAGTCTGAGTGGGACATATTGATTATTTTCTCAAAGTTATCAATCTTTCAATTTGTATGCAACACAATCTTACATAATTTTATCAATATCTCAATGACTTCAATTCATGCATCGTTCAGCATCATACAACTTACTTCACAAAGGTTAATTTCTTATAAAATATCCTGTAATATCACCAAGTCTTTGTTTGAGTGAGTTTTGCAAAATCTACTAACACCCCAGAGGTAAAATATATGAGGAACTCCATTTTCCACCTCTCTTCTCACCACCATATTCCTAACAGCTTGTCTGCCACCACCTTTCTCCAATATAATATCATGTGCCACATAACTCATTGATCATAAATGAACTATACCAACAACTACTGGTGTGCTGAAATTTAGAAACAGGTTCTTAGTTTTTTCAAAGAGATCATTTTGACAAATTGATAATATATTTTGGCAATTACCAGCAGAGGTTTAATTTACTAGGATGAGTGTATTCTGTCATCTTTACTTTCGTCCAATTGTCATATTCACAAGAACACATTTACTCTTCTTATTGTTATGTTCATTAAGTGACTCACACCAGAGAAAGAGGTTGCAGGGACCACAATGGAAAGATCATCAAACCTCAGTTCAAACCAATTCACAATCAGCTTCATGTGATGACTGCAACAATATCTACAGCAAAATATGCTACTATCAGGGCACTTCTTGAGCCCATTTATGAGTTCCACATTTCTGTTACCAAAACTAAGCTTCCCATGGACCAATGAGATGCACATGCCCCTCAAAGGATCTACTACAGCATTCTGAAACTGGTGAAATATGGTATAGGGAACCACAATTCCTTCAAGTTATTATGGATTTATGTCATAAAGAACCAGCAGCATCTCATTTATGTTCACCTCCCCATCAGATATTGGTTGTCCTGTGTGTATCTTTGCTACTGTGTGAAGTACTGGCTAGTGGTGTAAAAATGTTGGAATGGTGAGTCAAAGAATATGAAGAAAGGTATAAAGATACAACAAAAGAAGACCAATTTGATTAATGCCTTATGCAAGAGTGCTGTTGCATGCTTCCTTCAATCTATGGTGGCCAGGAGAGCTGTGTTGGAGGAGTACATGGTAAATAGTATGAATGATGAGAGACTTCAATCACTCAGCAAGTTTGTCATCCATGATCACTAAGATTGACATTTTGTGGAGTTCAGTGAGTTGCCTGAGAATGCAGAAAAGTATTTATAGATAGATCTGCTGCACGTAGAGAGTAAAAAGCTTTTTAGTATGCATTTCTAAACATAACATATGATGATCACACAGAATTGCCAGACCAGTGGCAAGAGTCTCATGAGCTGCTAATTCAATTCGTAAGCTCAAGAAGAGGCCAGTTTTCATGCAATGGTGAGTCAGTAGTGGATGGATTCTTGTCTTTACCTTGACTGTCATTTCTTGTGGTATCTTCAACAATTCACCTTAGATCAACCTTTGGTCTTTTTGTACTATTGCTTGAGAGCCAAGGAAGAAATCAAACACAGAGACTTTCCAAGAGAGATCATAGACATCTTGATTACTAATAAGGCACAACACCAGTAATCAAGTGGTCATTATGCATCAACCAGCTCATCAAAGACAAAATAATGTAGAACAGGTTTAGCAATATAGTGGCTGATGAGATACATGTTGAGATAAATCAGCATGTCAATACCATAGATCCAAATATGCGCACTTGCAACATCACACATGTGAAACTAAATACCATCTTAATGTACAGATGGTGTCAAGCCTGACCTCCCATTTCTCAGTTGGATATAAGGATTGCGGTGTGAGCTTACCTACCCAACTCACCAAATGATCCCAATGCTGCTATTGAATCATTCCTGTGCAGCATCAATCAACATTTTATTTCAGATGTCAAGGATGGCCAGTTGTGGGATTGGGTCCTGAAGAAGGTCAAAGTTATGTACTCAAATAGGTCAGTTATGCAGAGCCTTAATGTTAAGACTGTGCACAAAAGGTAGGACTGATTATAAGGGGCTTGGCTTCAGCTCGTGCACTGTGCCCCTTACCTGAGTATGTGCCCTTAATTTCAGAATGATGTCTGGAGAAAGTCCAATGAAGTCTGAAGGACTTCTAGAGGAGCATAGGAAACTTTGGAAGAACTTTCTGGACAAGTGTGTGTAACTTCTGGAGGAGTGTGGGAAAGTTCTGGAGGAACTTCCAGAAATTACATTGAGGTTTCATCCTGATACGGATATGTGTAATGACTACTCAGGACTAGTTCTGAGTAGAAACAAACAGAGGAAAGGCTGCAAAGACAAAGTCCAAAGCAGAATAGGTCCAGAGGACCATGAGAAAGATCTGGAGGAACTTTCAGAAACTCGGAGGAATGGAGGATCAGAGAAGTGAAGGAGTGAAGGATTAGAGGATCGGAGGACTGGCCTAGGGAATTCCTCCCTAGGCCTGAGATGGATATTGACTAAGTCGGAGGACTAGAACTTGATATGAGGACTTAGTGCGAAGACTAGTGCAAGGACTTAATATGATATTCAGACTAAAGAAATAAAGGAGTATCTACTGGGGTTTATATACTAGGGGCAAGTCAGTGCAGATCAGTAAGCAGAGGGGTAAGGCTATGTACAAGCATGTGGAAATGTATTAGAAAATAAGACAGATCATAAGGAAATTGTTACGCACTCAAATAGGTCTGTTGTGCAGAGCCCTAAGAGGGGCGTCGTCCACTAATGTTCATGACGTAACCAGAAGGGTCCGGTGTAGCGACTGAGACTGGCAACATTGAGTCGGCAGATATCAGAGACGCGCATGTCATGTCTGAAGTCTCAAAGTGAGGACGGTCTGTCCTAACGATGAGCGTGATTCGAAGTAGACTTAAGTGCAAGGAGCACTTAAGAAAAGATACTAGAGACTGACACATAATTCAGTAAATATTTTCCGTATTATACGGACAGCCGAAGTTGAGATATTTCCAAGTGAGACGGGTCATCCGAGGTGGGCCCAAATGGCAAGTGAGTGCTGTAAGAGTCGGTCGGGCCTACATGGATATTGCTGTTCGATATTGACAGACAGGCCAGTATGTGGTATATAATACAATTTTGGTATATACAGATGGGCTGAATCAGGATCTTGGCAGATACGAATGGGCCCAAGTGCATACAGTGCATGGGATGGTATTGTAATATAAGTAGGGTATACACGAGTGGGCCTGGTACACAACGTTGGATCAGGATATTGGTAGACATGGCTGGGCCTGACAAGGTCAGTACAAGGTATGGTATTAGAATCACGGTATACACGAGTGGGCCTGGTCATGACATGGGTTCGGTATTTCAGTATATACGGCAGGCCCAGGTAAGTCAATACATGGCATGGGATTGGTACCTGCACGAATGGGCCCGGGTAGGTCAGTACATGGCATGGAGTTGGGATGTCGGTAGACACGAGGGGGCCCGGTTATGTATGTTCTAGCATAAATATCTGTATGTTCGGGTGTACCAAGATTACGAGTGCGGCGGACAGGAAATGGCCCGGTGTGTTCTAGAATAACATCAGAGTATATATATCAGCCTATTCACAAGGGATCACAGCACTATATCGGTGGATATGAGCAGAAAAAAATATTTCAGTATACGGCACACAATCGGAATATAGGTAGACCCGAGGTGAGAATTAAGTGGATGAATGTGACCTGGCCGTGTTCAAGCGCAAAATATCGATACAAACTGGAATGCATTACATTGTATTTCGGTAGGTCATGTTGGCATTTTATCCAGATATATTAATATCACACTCATTCACATGCCGATAGATGTGCCAAAATCACAGAATCCACACGACCGAGATTCTATATAACATCACAAATAGTTATTTCCACATATTGAATAACCACTGAAGGATGGACCAGATAATAAGGGAGAGCTGGGATATCCCAAGGGTACCCAACTATGACGTCACTACCAAGGATTTACTAGCCTTATATATTCAGGACATATTCATGGGCGTCCTTTTGCATGACTCTATTTTAATCTGTCATGATGCTGGTCAATGACAGTAAATGTACATGCGAAGTAGTGGGTAAGCATACATGTATGTAATATATATATAACTACAGAGTACAAATTATTTTTGAGGGGACCAACCAGTCGGGAGACTAGATAGGTCAGAGCACCCACTCAAGTTGTGGTAATCGAGGGATCCTTGCCTTGCGGAGGCAGAATTATTCTCGGCAGTTGCTGGAGGAGCTGCAGACAAATCCCAAGCAGTGGTGAGATTTTTGCCGAGTTCCGATATACTCGGATCCAAAGGTTGAGGAGCTGCGAAAGGGGGCTGAAGCCATGTCCCGGGTATTTGGCCATATGGGTGTCCATGAACAGATGGCCCTGCAGAAGGGGGGTCGAAGGACGTCGAATGTCGGGGATCTTCATGGCCTTGAGTGCATTGGCCATGTATCCGATCGATGCGACATTGCTGCAGGTTTTCATCTCCACATCCTGAACCCTCTCCTCAACACTCCGGATCTTGTCCTCCATCACAACGAACTTGGCAGCCCAGTTGTCATCCAAGGCAGTGAACCTTGAATCCATCTCTTCATGAATGGCATCGGTGTGATCGCCTGAAGTCTTGAACAACACCTCGAACTTACTGCCGAGAGCATCAATTCGGAGGAGCAGGTCCCGATTTGTCGGCTGTTCCATGAATTGCAGAATGGGGTTATTAGACCCAATCCGAGGAGGAGATGGTTCGGCATGGTTGAAGGCAACACCCATGTCGATGTCGAAGTCTGCAGGACTGGGTGCCAGTTGTTGCAGGTGTTCTACTACACAACATTAATGTGGAAATGCAAAGAAAAAATTAGACATACCAATATCTGGACGAGACTCTGCATTAACATGTTTCGCAGGAGATGATGGGAGTGCAACAGCCAGGGAAAGTGGTGCGGCTGTTGCTTGTTCTAAAAAAATGAATACTGAGAACCAAAATAAACACGACAAAGTGCTTACCAACATCAAGAACACCATCAGCATCAGCATCCTCATCCGACTCCGCATGAGGAGTCAGTGGTGGTGGAGATTGCGGCTGGGCCTTTGACATGGAGCATGTTGATCATGTACTTACGGGCGCCTTGGGTCGATTGATCGACTTCGGCAAAGGAGCCAGTGTGTTGGTCTTCTTCATTGCCTTCTTTGCCTTCTTGTCGGCAGCTGCAGCTGCCTTGGCCTTGCGTGTGGCGACTTTGCCTCAAAGGACAGCACCACATTCAGGACCTGGTCGATGGCATTTGATCTTTCAGCCATCGCAGTTCCTGCATGTCTTCCTCACCTCGCCAGATTTCTTGGCAAGGATGGCGGTGTAAGCAACATTGTTCTTGATACAGTGTTCACATGGCACACCAAAGATGCGGACAGATGATGTCTCTTCAGGAGAGACGGCATCCTCGGCGTCCGATTCTGAAGAAGACTGGTAATGTTAGCATGAGATTATGTAGATTTTGATATGAAACATACCTCAGCTTCAGAAAGCGAGCAGCCTCACACTATCGAGGGCTGATTACCAGGCCCAACTGTTGGTTTTCTCTGACTTGCAGATTAGTTAAGGTGGGACTGCGAGATAACGACACATACCTTTACAAAAATGACATCATGAGTTGGGATGTTGTCATCATCCTCCTCGACTACGACCTTCTTCAATTTGGCCTGTGTGGGCTTCATCTTCTTCCTCGGTGGGGCTTTACCAGTGTCCAACCGAGTCTTGCTCAATGGTTTGGCATTATGGATGATGACCTTCGGGACATCATTGTCCTCAGATTCTGATGTGCTGGCCTTCCAAGTCCAAGTTTGGACACGGTATATATAGGGAACAACAATTTGGGCCACAGTGGTGCCGATGGAATTTGCCGATGCCTCATGGCCATTGTTCTTAGACATAATGGCGCCACATAATGTTGAAATCTCGGCTCTTGCCACGACAAATATTGAACAATAATGTGAAGAAGTCCGACATCATCGACTGTATATTCACATCCACATTTCAAACTATTGCGCACCACCTGTTCCCTATTTAACCCACCTATTCCCCACCCGAACATCGTGAACATAATCCCTGCATCATGTCACCCCAAAAAGCCCATTTTTCGATACCATTGACAAATGAAGAGCTGGACACTATCTTGGCCGGTGATCTACGAAAGACAGCCTTGGCAAAATGGTGGGGTAATTTTGTACCCATAGACCAGTGGACACCGCCGAACGTCCGGCATACATTTAAGGATTTGCCATTTAGAAGTAAGTATCTTCTTCGGCAGATCTTGTTCATGGCATTTGGAAGCTAATTCAATGCCAGAATATGATATGACTCCAGAAACTCAGATCGACAGTCCGGATAATTACTGGGGAGATTCAACTCCAGACATCTACAACCACAACTTTGCCGGAGTGGAGGAGGCCATTCATGAACTCTCCGGTAAACATTTTCTGTAAACTGATGTCTACATTCTCACTTATTAATATATTTTCAGCGATGTTTGAAGATGATTGGGTCAAGTCCCGATCTCAACCTCCATCAGTTGGATCACCTCCAACGACCAAGTCTATAGATGAGGAGCTGATGGACTGCGATGGTCTGTTGTATGATCTTGGGTGGGATGGTATTTCTGCTGTCTCACAGGAGGTCAGACCACCATCCGAACAAGGTATGGCTGCTGGTGAGTGTTTAGTCCATGTCCGGATGGGATGACTGACCCTATTGATTTGCAGACAACGGGCCAATTTATGATCTCGGATGGAGCGGATTGATGTATCATAAAGCAGATGGCATCAATCAAAGTCCTGTCTATGATCTCAGTTGGACATCGGACCCTATACCACCATTGGTAGTACCTGCGGATGAGATCAAAGAGGACCCTATATATGATCTTGGATGGTCGTGTCCCGTGATGTTGCCGGAGGAAGCCAAAGCCACCGATGACAATTATGACCCTGCATACGACCTCAGCTGGGTGGCAACAATGGTAGAGTCGGCGGCAATGGACAATGATGTGATTGATCTAATATATGGCCGGTGATAATTCACATTCAAATTATGTCAGATATAATTCAACAGTCTGTTTCATATGCAACACCAACATTATCACCATTCCTAGCAAACACTTATGACCTGATGCACTTTGCTGCATATCTGGAGTTCGGCTTCTTGGATCTTTTGGGAAGGAGATCTGATGCCTTGCTTCTTGTGCGTTTCACGGGGAAGTCATCCCATGCATTCTCGGCAGGACATTTACGACCTTTGGTGTTCAACTGAACTCTTTTCTCCTTCGGTTGTTCTAGCCCGTCTTTGGGACCGTGTCGCCTCCCGCAATCCGGTTTATCGGCAGTATATTTAGAACCCGCTTCCTTGTTAACATTGTCCGAGCGCTCAGCTGAATTCTTTCGTAATTTCCCCCCAGGATGAGATGCCGGTCCTACCCTCCGAGGATTGTCTAAAGGCATTGGCGGTGCTTGGGAAGCCGATGGCTCTGGCACTCCCACTCCCAGTGTCATGTCTGCAGCTTCTGAGACACTATGCAATGCAGTGGATTGTGCGAGGCGCGTTTTTGCTGGCTGTCTGGTTGTGATATTGGATACCACATCCCCTCCAACCAACTCCCATGCAAATTCTTGACGACTGTTTGATGATCCAGAAGCCTTCTCAGGTTTTGTTTTACCTCGCGACTTCATGATCGGCTGCCTACTTCTTTGTTCAGCCATGTGTGTCCATGTCCGAGGTGTGTCGTCATCATCGCCCGAACTATCTGATTGGATGACCGCCCATTCTGCATACCTCCTGACCGGTTTTGGCAGCTCTTCATCCTCACAATCTTGATCACACTCCTTAGGCCATCTTACGGGAGATTTGATTTCCTTGTCAGATTTACTCCACCACCCGTTGAACTCAAATGTTGCATCTTGGCTGGCCTCCTGTCAGTCATGCCAGAATTCCAATAACTCAGTGGCCTCTTGTCTGTTTATCCAAGAGGGCTCCCAAAGTTGTCTTCCATCGGGAAGATATGGCGGTGGGATAAGCTCCTCCTGCCTCGGTATTACTTCCTTCCATGGCACCACCTCTTTTGGCCATCCCGTGCAATCCTCTATCAGCCATGTGAGAACAGTTGAGCATGTCACAAGACCGACTTACGATAATGCCAATTCAAGAAGGCTCGGACGACCGCCTTATAGGTGTCTGAATCCATCTGTGTATGGTCTGGAAGGACAGGAAACCCGTCATCCCCTATCTTTAGGACATATGTCTTGTCTTTTCTGCTTTTTTCACCAGGGTATCGTCAGAGTCTACTTCCTCAGAGAACTCACCGAACTGTTTGGACACATAAAACTTCCATTCTGGCACTATATCCTTCCAGTCGTGAGTGTTGGTAAAACTTTCTCCGTTGAAGTCGTGGCTGTCAGTTGACTTGTCCGAAATATGCTGAGTTGGTGACTTACCTCAAGACCATTAGTTTTCCTTCTTCACCTTTCCAAGCTGACAGTATGAACAGCCGCATTCCTGCCTTTTTGAACATCTCGGCAGCCTCGCTCTTTCATCTCGCCATATCCGCCTGAACATCGGGAGGAACTCCCTGTTTGTTCCACTCTACAGACTTCTCGGTAGCTTCCTCCACCTCAATCTCAGTGAGAGAATTCACCATGTCCGCAAGATACTTAGAGTAATACTTCATCATATCCTTTTCCCCAGCCTTCACACCAGTTTCATCCTCAATCTTCTTCAGAATCTCCTTCTTCCAGAGAGCGCCAACCACCGTCCGGTACGTCCACTTTCTTCCATGATTGATAGGGGCTTTCATATCCTTCTTTCACTGTGGTTTTATAACCATTTCTGGTAGACCTGCATGCCAAATAATATTAATAATTCAATTCCCCAAGTCGATTGAACAAGGCACTCACAGGCTTTGTTGACCTCAGCTTGGCAGGATTCATCTTGGGCGCCTTCAGCCGAGCCTCCGTAGTGGTGTCCTTCCAGACCTTGTTTCTGTCTTTACCCGAAGTGTTGTCCCATTGCTCGAGATGGGACTCCAGAACAGCAACCTCCTCTCTATTAAGAGGCAAGTACTTGTGAGCTTCTTCTTCCAACTCCGAAGTGTTCCCTGACATGAATGAAATGTATAGCAAGACGGAAGAGAAGGAGACGTATCTGAAAAGAGGTTTAATTTCAAGCAAAATTGTTTGTTTCGTAATGGTTATTTCGAGGCATAGATAACTACAATCCCATACAATGAAAATGTCCCGTTGCACAATCTGATGGATTTATTGGTACTCTTGATCTTCAAGACATTTACCCACCAATTTAACTCATTTCACTAGCCAGTCAACTTCGGAATTCAGGTATAGAATCACACAGATTTTTGTTTTGTTCATCTTCCTAAGAAATTCCTCAAACATCCCATGGGTTGGGATCGGCTATCAAGTTACTGGAATCATGGAATCACCGCTATTCATTTGTCTCAAAGTTATGCCAGGACATCCTCATCTTGATTTGATTCTTATCATTTGAGAATGAGAAGGAACTTGTGGTACTGCGAACAGATTCGGAGTAGATGGTTGCTATTGCTGTTGCTGTTATGCTCCAAGGTGCCCAAATCAAGAATGGTATCCAACAAAATGTGGGCCTTATGAGAGTGAGAAGGAACTTGGGTGACCCGGAATGCATTGGGAGGGGATGGCTGTGGTTGCCCCTGTTCTCTTAGAGTCCCTTGGTATTTCTTAGCAATTGAATTGAATGAATGTCACTCAATCCACCCAATAACTCTTTTGAACTGATCGTCCTGATGACCCCTCAGCAATTCAATTGACTATGATCTAATCTGTCCAAATTGATGCACACTTTATGCATTGAGGTCTGAATTTAGCACAAAATAATACCATGGGAGACAAGCTAGGGAAGGTCTAGTTAAGAGACTGTGATGCAATCAAAGTTCACCTTTCTGTTACCATACCACCACCATCATCTCACAGACCCGGACATGGGCAGATCAAAGGCTATAGAGGTCACACCTCCTGGGACCGTCCACCTTGTGAAATGGAGCCGGAAAAAAACTAGCCGATCAGCCACATGGCTTGCCTCTGGTATCACTATTGAAGTCATGCAACTCGCACTGGTCATGGATCTGCACAGAATGGGCCGGCATCCCACCAAAATGCAAGCACTTGATATCGGCTGATGTAGGGTTCTGCTGCAACAGTCTATCGACGAATTCACCACCGGAGCAGCGAGGTACATAGGAGATGAATATGATGCCAATGATGGCATCACCATAATGGACGTCAAATTTGTAGAAGACGCCACCGATGCTCACGATTGCAGTGATGATGATTCGGACGTGGGAGAGAACATGCCGAGGGTCTCGCTTCAACCAGAAACTATTGCTATCCCAATGCCATCCAACTTCGGCAAGAAAAGATGTGAAGAGCTTGGAATTGAAGCCCTTGTCAGACAAGAAATCACTCTCCATGAAGGACAGGCCAATGATGTCTTGCACACCATCAGAGTTCATCTGGCTGACAAATCCATTTGTTTCGGACAGTAGTCCGTCCGGCAAAGTCCCAGGCCAGTACCACCCAGGCCTGGGCCCAGGTTCATTTGGTCGAACATGTGATCAATCTGAACAGCATGATCTACAAGAAATGCAGGTCGCAGTTGTCTAATCTTGGTGCTGATCATATGCTACAGAAATATTGGCCGTTGGAAAGAACTGAGCTCAAGGCAAACTTGGCTGTCGCAGACCTAAACATACGAGGTCAGAGAAATTCGATGCTGCCGTGGTTTTGGTCTTTGGATGTTCAGGGGGATTCGGTGAACAACAACTGGCTCAATGAATGTGAGTTTCAATCTCGGTGCAAGACATGTTGTTTACCTGATTTTTGCATCAAGTTTACAGGGTGCATTGGCTTCATACAAAAGCTTTGTGAGACTGCTGGGCTGAAGAGTTAATTCTCGTCAGTTATGAGATGCGCTGGACCATCAATTTTCTTGCCCACAAAGCCAAAACCTGGCTCAGCTGAATAACCCGTCGAGGAAATGCTATCAAAGATGGACATAAGTGCTATGTGATCAGACAGGCACACATGTATAGACAATTAGCTGAACACACGCACTCCCGGTTTGTGGAAGTAGATCCGACATTTGGTCATAACTTGTGACATAATATTGAAATATAAGATAGACCCTATGTTATCAACATGTGATGTCATCAGCTTCATGCCAAGACCTTGTTGTGTATGTAACCAGGGGAACATGCAGACAATGCACTATTGTGGTCAATTTCGGCCCCATTGTTTATCAAATTACCATGGGTCACAGGTCCACACGTGGCGGATGACATATTTTATTGAGTTTAAACAGTTGACTATTTATACCGCCGGCTGCATCCCAGACAGTCCATTCATTCACGCCCTTCCACGCTATTCCCACTGATCTGAATATGCTGACTGATCCTTTGTTTGTGTACGCCAGGCCCTCAGTAGGTGCAGCACTATCAATGTGGGATGCTGCAAACATTTTTGAGTATGCGACATCCTGCTTTACTGCGATCCGCATCGCCATTGAAAAGAATCAAGTTTCTTGGACTTCACACTTCCGAAAAGTCTTTGTCAGATATTTGCATTGGGAAGCCGATGTATGTCTTCCGATATTGCCTATCGAATTTGTTGACTTATTGGGTTGTATCTAGCGATTTGTATTTCCTATTATCAACCTTTGTGCCACCACCAACACATCCATGGCATTGCTGGAATATCTCAACGACATCGTGAAGATGCTTGCGAGCTGGCAGCTGGCCCTTTGGGATGACAACTGCCTCTTCCGCGAATTCTCTACGCATCCTGTGGGCGGTGGCTCTGATGTCATGGCGCGTTATCGCTTAGTTGCCCATTACCAATACTGGTGGTGGAAGGACTGGTTTGATCTCCTTCCTTTTGAGATGCCGGATTGTGTCCAGTTACAGGATGTCATGGAACTCACTGTCGAACATTTTCAACAGCTGGTAAGCTCGAGTCGTTTGCTTTTCACTTAGTGATCTAATCATAACCGATAATCAGCCTACGGGGCATCTTCTTCTGCCCGACATGCGCACGCGCAAGGCCAATCTGGATCTGTTGCTGTCAAACCTCCGGGTGATCAAAGATGATCTTGAACAGCTAGGCACCAAGCTCAACTATTGGGTATCCGCGAAGATGAAAGATGGAAGTGCTGCCCTGGAGGCCATGGCTACCCTTGAAGGTCCTGTGGATGATCTTCATGATGCTATGGCCACCACACAAGAACTTCTTGACAGAGGTGAAGATAAGTAGCAGGATTATGACTAGATGGAGGAATTATTCTGGTAGATTGCCTCAATTGATATGCGGTGGGTGACTATTGGCTTCGGTAAAAAGCTTTGTATGTAGTATATTGTGCATATCATCTTAGGCTACGGGTGTGAACGGCAATGCAATGCAACACAGGCATGATACTAAATGAAAGTTTCTGGAATTATCTAGGAAAACTATCCATATCTCATATTGCCCTTGCGCATTGTACGCGGCTCTCAATTTACCAAAAATTGCGATGGTGCATGTTTTGAGTAATCGCATTGTTGTTATGTCTTGACCTCATGCTGCTGGTGTGACACTCATCCCTTCGGAATGGTGCTCATATGCCAGTCACATTGTGTTGATGAGGAATGGTATCGGCTGGCTTCCTGTCGTTCCGAAGGATTGGGCTTTGCATGCCACTCACTCGGCCAGTGAATGGGTTGAACAGCAATTCCTTGCCCATGTTGCCGAAAGACCGTTGGTAGACCCTCCTCCCGAGTTGGACATCGAGACCGTGTTGTCTTGCAGGCAACTAGCACTACTCATGGCCAAAGCCTATCGACACCCGAGTATGTGCCCGCCATGTTTACTGAAGATATCAACTGATGCAAGGTGTTGAATTTAGTTAAGTTGGATATCGACATAATACAATACAATGAGGCTCTCTCCAAAAGACAATCTGGAATGAATGATGCGCAGGAACATGCCTTATTAGCGAAATTCCCTCCTTCTGAGAACATTGTGTTGAGGCACCTGGCGGTTGTATTGGACTCCGGGTACTGAATCATTCTGTGGTACATCCCAGATGCTCTTGCTGCATGGGCGCAGGTGAGTTGGTTGCTGTAAACCAGTTGTCGGCCGCTGACAGTAATAATGATAGAATGATATGTTCAAGGCCACCACCGCCATGGGAGATCTTTTGAAAAAAAGTATAGTGCATCAGAGTGGTTCGGGTTGGAGAACCCATGAGTTGAACTTTCGGCCGGTCGATACAAAAGGATTGTCTCCAGGCTGTATCAATATCGCCCCGTGTTGGTTTCAGCAAGGACATGAAGTAAGTTCTGAACTCCTGTGTTTTTGTTTGTTCATCTCGGTGCAGTGCTATGGCCCCCTGCCCGAGAACTCCAACAACGGTTTCAAACCCAAAGTGTCTGCCACACTCAAGGGCGAGTGCAGCCTGGAGATGATTATGGATATGCAGAGACCCGCCCTGCTCGCCTCCGTTGCCCTCCGAGTCATGCATCCTCAACTCTACTGGGCTTCCCTAAGGATGCACGTTGAGCTCGGCCGTTGGTCACCACAGCAAGGATTGCACGACATGCATCGCCTCTTGAAGCATTGGGCCTCGGTTTCCACAGGGGCTGCTGTCATGTGTAACCGTGATTCTCCTTGTCACCGAGATCCGAAATGCCTGCCCGAGGCATTTGACATACTGACTTGCATTGGTAGCTACCGACACGCAATCATGTGCTTAACCAATCTTGGGATCGATTTAGTATATAACCCAGGGGTCATGGTGAGCTATTCAGGTCGTCTGGTGAGACATGGCATTCATGTTAATGAAGGGGATCAAATAGTATGGGCCTGGTTCTGTGCACAACTACGCCCGCACTCCTCATCCGGATTATGCCAGATATAATCCTGCTGACCTCGATGCCTGCATATTTGTGAAGTACAATCAGGTGGATTTCATGGTGTATGGTACTCTATAGATGGTCCTCCCACTGCTATAAAATCTTATTGTCACTCTTTAACCCAACCCAATGCCTTGTCCATACATGTTGCCTTTTGCTTCTCAAAGCTCTCACTTCTCAAAATTTTGCTATCATTTTACATACTCTGATGCCGCTCTTTTACATGTCATTCCCTTCCACATATAGATATAGTTTTCATAGCATTTCTGAATTTTGCGGGCTTCATTGCATAAGTCACGGTGTTGCTTCAGACTTTATTCAATTTGGAATCAGCACATCTCTGTTTGTCGAACATGCGGAAGTTCATCGGACAATTGATTGTTGCAATATGATACTGATGCAACCGAACACAGTTTTAATTGTGTCTCAGTAGCATGCTGATGATACGGTAGGCTACATGGGGGCACTACCTCCAAAGGAATGGAGTATATCTGGGATGACCGAGAATGGGGCTTATATATTATGCTATCCATCAGCATCCCCATCCGGCAATATTCTGTGCCAACTAGTGCCAGAATATCAGCCTTTGGGCCCCACCATTGACATCAACCTAATCATTTTGGACCTTTGGTATCACTCATGTAGGCCCATCCGTGCAGATAGATGTACTGGCATTGACCATATGTCGACTTTCAGCAATACTACATCGAGCACCATCATATATAAGTTCGCCGGCCCTGACTGTAGGTACCACCGACTTGGGTATGTTTATGAGAATTGGTGCCCTGTCGTCAACACCGTATCGGACCTGATCGTTGATATCAACCTCGGCCGTGCCCACTTGGGCCCATCCATGAATGTGATATGAACCGGGACCTGTGGTATCATCCACTCAGGCCTGTCAGTGAGAATTGGTGCCCCGCCATTGATTCAAAAATTAACTTTCGGTAATACCTCATCGGGTCCAGCTGTCGGGGCCGAGTGCTTCATCCTGGATCATCCTCATCACCTGCTCAGGCCCATCGGTGAGAATGGAGGCCCTGCTATTGATCTGGTGGTCCACCTTCAGTAACACTTCTCAGGCCCAATCGTTGACATCAATCTCATTATTCTATACCTTCAGTATGGCTCATATGGGCCCATCCGTGAGAATCGACCCAATGCCATGACCTGATTGTCAACTTTTGGTAACATCACATCGGGCCCAACCGTCAATACCGACTTCATCACCCTGGACCTTGGGCATCATCTACTTGGGCCTGTCCGTGAGTATCAACACCCTCATGGTGGACTAATCGGGCCCAACGGTTTCATAATCACACTGTCAGTTGTTACGTATGGGCCCAGTCGTCAATCCCATGTCTATAGCTCTCGGTGGACTAATTGGGCCCAACCGTTTCATAATTACATTGTCAGTTATCACTTATGGGCCCAGTCGTCAATACCGAGACATCATGGGCCCACCCGTGTGTATCAGCCAGCATTGGATCTGGGCCCAACTCAGATGGACCGTCTCACTCAGAAGAATCTCAACTTCAGGTGTCCATATAACACGGAAGAAAGTTACTGAATGGGCTCAGACTGAAGCTTATAAGACAGATGTCTTTGAAGTCACCAGGCTCAAAGTGAGGACTATGCCTGCAGTAACTGACAATGTGGCTACTCTAATGTAGACATACCTTCCCATATAATGGGTAGGAGTCTGATAGAGATGTAGCATAAAACTCTCCCAGATCAAGCAGTCTGACTATGTCAAATGGCCCTACTCTCACAAAACATGATCATGACTAGTCACAAATCTAAGTATTGCAGACTCTTCATAATAAGTCTCCTTAGTGCTGCTGTGGTCTCGTTCAGTCCAGTTCTTGAGGGTGTTTTGTTGAACCTTGAACTGAACCTTGGGTCTGGTTCAGGCAAGGAGGGCAAACACTAGACCAGACCCTTGCAAACATGTTCATAAGTATCTTAAAGATAGAATTAGTAATAATGATCAGGTGAGAAGATTGGAAATGTACTAGTATTATAGCAAGAACATTTAAATGACACTGAAATCTCAGAGAGTATAAAAGATGACCGCACAGAGCCTACATTAACAGAATGAGCAGAGTGTTTTGAGAGACCACTAGCACAACTAGAAGCAGGTGCAGCACAAGGTAATAACTTTTGCTTGACATGTGCTGATTAAGCAGAAGGGTTAGATTCTTGATGTAGACAAAACATAAAGGATGTATAACTCTGACGCTTCACATCAAGTATATTGAGTTCAGCCACCAAGGTAGTATCCATTTCAAGAGTTTCAGCCTGTTGCAAGACTGTATTGACATGTGACACCCAGTTGGGAGAACCAGAGAGAAGGCTCCCTGGGTCCAAATCCATGTGAGTGCCTTCCTGGAGAAGAATAATAGACACATCTAGAGTTGAGTCCATATGTGACTCAATGACAATGGTATTGGCTAGTATTTTTGCATCAACAACAGCTATTCAAGTTGATCAACCCAAGCAGAGCCAGTTCTAAATGTGTGAATATACCAATATCGTCCACATACATATAAAGAGGAAGACAAGAACAATAAGTAACTGTGCATCTGGAGCTGAGTCTAGAATGGAAGTTGTAACTAACTCCTGGAGTCTGTCAGAAACAGATCTGAAAACAAATTGTAATGTTAGTGAATGTCTGCATCCAGAACTGGTACTAAATGAGGAATACTAATCTCTAGGATTAGTTATTGTGACATTGCTAACGGGGCTAAGCAGATGACTAATGGATCATTGGAAAAGAAAGATGGTCAGTGACATATACATAGCACATACTCCTCCACTCAGTCTGAGAAGTTGATTATATTATTGTTAATGATTTCCAAAATGAAGAATAACAAGCCAAAGGACCCTGTGAATAGACACAAGATTCAATAAAGAAGAAAGAGCCAACAAATGTGGAAATTGAAGAAATACCTTCAATTTCAATATTATCAGGGGAGGAAAGATACAGCCAATGAATGAACATATGACTATCATCCATTCCATAAATGCAAGCATTAAAGTTACTTCCAAGCTGGTTTTAGAAAAAGCAGTATAGGTAGATGGACAGGAGATGGATAGAGACAGTGTGAGTTGCCACAGAATTTGATAACAATATTTATAAAATTGTCCTGGACTCCTGATGTTTTTCATAGCTGCTGCACTCACTAGCATGAATATTAGGATATAATCATACATAAAACATATATAGAATAAATCAATCATTGAGCAGACATGACAAAGGGTAATGATTTAGTCGATCTGACTTAAGGTTCTTTTATTTATATTTCACATCACATAATATAGGATTCTTATTCATACATAAGACACAACAATTGCTATTCTCTGCACAGTCTCTGGTGCATACATATAGGTGTGGTTTTAACCAGTGACAACTCAATGTTCCTGCAGTATATGTACCATTCATTCCTTGTGTATTATGTTAATGCTGAATCAAAGAAGGTGGACCCTGTAGGATTGGAATGTCATGCATACATATCATACCATAAAGGCTCCAAGAAATTGCTCAACAATAAATTATCCATATAAATAATATACATAACTTTTAGATGAAGCACTTCAGTGCTGCCAGCATAGGTTGAGATATGTCAGCACAGTGATAGAGTTTGAATATTGAGATATTACAATATGCAGTGCTACATCTGAGTAGCAAATTCCATAAGTGGCAAAGGATTTGAGATCATTTATCTACTCCAGCCTGAGACTAGCTCCAAGTTGTGCTATGTAACCTTACCACCACCATTGCACTGTGAAAAAATGGGTAATAAGTTATATCCTATGTCAATACCCATTCTTATTCAGAATATTCCATAATCTGACAATCTGACGATTCAGTCACCAACCGGCATAACATATCATTTAGGCAACACTAAATATACAGTGGGAGGATGATGAGCTAAATGTCAGAAATCCTACTTAAACAATTGCAGATGCTAACTACTTATACATAGCTGGTTATCCCACCAAACTGTATCTATATAATACTTGTGCTCTTACAGCAATATGACATGTATATGAAGATGGTTAAAAATAGTAAACTACATGTAAAAACTAGTTGCATGGACCTAGGAGATTTGCAGCTATATACAAGTGTGGCTTTTTACATCCAAAATGTCATACTTGCATTCAAATATGAGTGGGAAGAGCATGGATATAAGTTTAATTTTCATTTAGCACACTTAAGTTCCATACAGCAATAGTCCTTACAGGTGGTACCTTCAATGATAAAAATGTGCAGAAGGTGAAAAACAAAGTTTATTTTCACATGAGGTGACTTCATTGAGTGCATGGAGGTGACAGATGTCATGAAGTGTGAGTGAATTACTATTTATATGTCCATCACATTACTCATCATTCATTATATAAGTGAATGGAGATGTAAAGGCATATTATGACTTGATATGTGGCAAGGATGAGAACATGTGTGGTCTCGACATTTTTTCTACTGTCATGCATAGCAAGCAGTTGTGTGATATAATCAGGAGATTTATCAAGGATAGGAAGTTTGCATGAGCAGCAAAGAATGTTGTTGATCTGGAAGGCTCACATTTAAGATGCTAAATAATGTCCAAGCATCAAATAATATCAGAACATGAGGATGGTATCATGAAGAATAGTCGACATAGTGTCCAGAACACAGCAGTGGTGAGTACCTGCTTACTGGCTAGGATAATAGTTACCTACAGCCCTTGTAGGGTGGAGGAAAAATACAGGAATATGAGGCTGTAAATGTTTAGTGATTCGCAAAGGAGATGATGATGGAATGAGCAACACTGAACATGAATTTGAGCAATTAGACACTTTGGCAATATCATTAAGCCATCAGAAAGACAATGATGCTTCAGAGGCTTTGACTAAAGTGGTGTGAAGGAAGATATATCAAGCCTATGGAAAGACTCAAATAATTCTTACAAACATTATTTGGCCTGTTGAGGCCACTGATTTTCTGCCCTCAGTAAGTTTTTAT